TGGGGAATTCTGGGAGTTGAAGTCCACCCATCTTAAAGTCGCCAAGGTTGAAAAACACTGGCATACACAAACACCAATCAATATTATCTATATTATTACAAATAAATAAAATGTTACAGAACAGTAGGTTTTTCAAAGAAGGGTAGTCCGAAGCCTACACAAGACGCTAGGAGAGAGCAGGATGGAAAGAGTCAGAGCAACAAACAGGATATGATTGCACCGGCAGGTTCTGTACAGGTGCTATTCTCAATGCTCCCTGCCCAGAACTATCGCCACCCCAACCCCACACAGAGGCTTTTACCTCCAGAGGCAGATAGGTGTGTTTCTGCTCCTGGCCAACCTGAAGACAGGGCAGGTGGGGATACTTCAACTGCAGGTTGTACTTCTGTTTGAAGTATTGTGCTACGGTGCATTCCACAGTCTGTCCGCTCTCCAGCTGCAAGGGGAACCTATACAGAAAGCAACAAGGATGCCTGAGAGAGCCGATGTCCTCAGCTGAGAAGAGATTTCACTTCACTGCTCCGAGGCCTCCACAGAGACCAACCAGGACCCCCCAAGGACAAAACCTGCATTGTGCTATCACAACACAAGCTCGCCCTTTTGTATTTGCCTTACAAAACTGCACACATGGGCGTAAAGGGCAGAGTTCCTGTTCTGATACAGGTAGTCCTCGTTTCACGACTGCCTCGGTCAGCGACTGTTCACAGTTATGAAGGTGATGAAAAAGTAACTTTGCAACCCACACACCGCATTTACAACCTTCGCAGGTCCGTAAAGCAAAGATCTGAAGGAAGATCGTAAGCACCGTCACGGTTTCATGTAGCGACTGTTTCGCTTAATGACCAAGTTGCCAGCCCCAATTGTGGTCACTAAACAAGGACAACCTGTATATGTTTCTTTACTTAACCCCCTGCCAACACTCACGTCTCCACTCTTTCACCATATAGGCCAAGAGCCCATGCTGCGGTGTTGTGAGCAATTGTAGGAAAGGAACAGATAAGAGAGAACAGCAGGCGAGTCAGTTGGCAGCTCATCTTAGAAACAACAACTCTGCCCAGGTGTGGAGAAATCTGGGAAAAAGCTTCTCAATGTATTCCAAGGGAATCTGCCTGAATTAACTCATTGTAAATAAGGCTGGGAAATTCCTCTTAAAGCTTCCAAAATTCAGTATTTACTCCTAACTAACAGTAAAGAGATTTTCCTGAAGCCTGTGTCGTTCTTACTTCCTTGGTATTTATTTATTAAATTTATATATCACCGAAGCCCAACGATTCTGGATGGTGTCACATGGGTATACCGAAGCATAACCATAACTGTTTGCGCCACCGCATTCTGGACTAGATGAAGCTTCCAAGTGGTCTTCAAGGGCAGCTCCACGTGCAGCGCATGGCAATAGTCAAGCTGTGAGGTGATTAGGGCATGAGTGACTGTCTGGAGGGCCCTGATCCAGGAAAGGGTGCAACTGACACATCAGATGAAGCTATGCTAAGCCCTTCCTAGCCACAGCTGCCACCTGTAGGATTGAGTTGAAGATGGTTCCCCTCCATCCAGACCTGCACAGCCTTTGATTCATATATTCTGGCACTTTTATCTAGGCCTACCTCTTAAGTAATTTTAACAATAATTGAATGAGAACTCGAATAGTTTACCACCTCTGTATTTCATCAATTTCACAGTCATTTTTCTGATAGTTCTAGTAACTTTAATACGTTTTAAAGTTTATTAAAGTTTAATAAAATTAGCTTTGTGTCCTTTAGATCTCTTCTAACATCTTACCATTTTATTCATCCAATATTTTAGCTCATTTTATTTTAATGGCCTTATAAAATTGTCCACAATTCTGGTCACTGACCATAATAAAGACTGGATTGAGCAGTACTGGAACACTCAAGTTATTCTAAACCCAGAATTAAACAGCTTAACCTTTGCTTCCATAATTTAGATGTTAACCCAAAGTCCTGAACTGTTAATAGAACCATTTTGGTCTGAAGAACTGTATGAAGCAATCCTATAAAACAAAAGTAAACAAAAACTTTGATTTTATATTCCCTCTCCACTTCTATTTTCCAATTTTAACAAGGACTGCATCCATCAGTGGCTGGATGTCATTCATTTTAAGAAACAGGATGTTTCCAAAACTGGGAGTTGTTTTTTTTTTTAATACAGACACCCATGAATGGTCTCCAATTCCTCCCAGCGCCTGCCTTACGTTTGGTGACTAGCTGGACGCCGAGTAACATTACACACACGGTATTTCCTCTTCATTTGTCCACAGTGAGTAACCTCCACTTTCAAACCTAGTGAAAGAGAAGATTAAGTTTACAAGCAATTGTAGTTTTAGTTCCATTCAAAGCTATCCCCTTCCATTCTATTTTAGTTATTATATTTTCGTTCATAAGATTCTCAGTTAAAATTATAATACGGTGAATACTTTATGAATAGAAGTTCTGATTTCAGCAATTAAAAATACCTATTTTATTTAGAGATCCATTCTCGCATGAATCTTTGAAGTTACTGTTTTCCATTATTGGAATATCTCACAAATCAATCATTTCTTAATCATTTTGATATTCAACAATTCCACAATTCCTCAATACCTAATGACAATTATTACTACATGGGATTTATGTATATATAAAAATTGGAATATAACAGCAAAGTTGTCAGAAAGTTGTCGGATTCTATTAGTTGATAGAATTACATACAAAAAAACCTTTCATACTTGCTTATTTTACAATCTGCACCCTCCAGATTTAAAGAAAATATTTTTATTTTGGAATTCATGTTGCTGATGAATTGTTTCACTATAAACAAGAAATAAATAAGCAGTTGTATAGTATACTCCACCTAGAGTTCATTTTGGACTGAGATGGTAAATAAATCCCCAAAATAAATAAATATCAGTGTTTTTAAAAAAACAGTCCAACTCCTAACATGCTTATTTAGGGGGAGAAAATTAAATGTATCTCAGCCTCCAATAACACTTTCCAAAAAAGCTTTGAGGGGAAAATATGCTTGCGAAAAAAGCCACAGGACTGTGCCATCTGAAAGCTGTGGGATCCACAGGATCAGACCCACTATCAAGAAAGCCTTGCTGACTTCAAAACAACTCAACCTTAATTCTTAGTTTAATCAAAGGTTATTCCAGCACTCCTCATGTCAGTTAAAGAAAAGAAAAGAAACAGATGGAACACAAACTGGTGGAGAAGAAAAAAGAAAGGGAATCAGCGAACATTCCTGCATTTCTGGTTGAGATGCAAATGGGGGTGGGAACAGGCAATGGGTGTGACATGAGCCACAGCTAATTTTCTTTCATACCCATAACCCTCTACTATCTACCTCTGCTCACTTATTTTCACACCGATGCCTCCCCCTTCAAGCACATACCATGTAATTTCCTCCCCCATCCACCCACCACCAAGTTTAAGAGAATAAGCTTCCATTGATGTCAATTATTAAATGGGAAGGAAGAAAGGTTGTGGCTTGCAAGAGCTCCATTGCTGCACTAAATACACACACACACGTATACACACACACACACGTGTATATATACAGTATGTGTGTGTGCACAGTATATATACATATAACTCTATATAACTCTCTCTCTCTCTCTCGTTATATGTATAGAGAGAGAGGAAAGACTGGAAGAAGTTGTGTAAATCTGGACGCCTTGGGTGGGGTTCCAAGAATTGCAGAGGGCATCCTTTCCACTCACTCCCTTCTTTGCAAAAACTCAAGGAAAGCCTGTGGCTCTAAGTTCTCCCCACATACTGGCCACTCTTGTTTCAAAGTTCTCCCCATGGCTCTAAGAATCAGAAACCATTTTGCTCCCACTCTCCTCCTCCTCCTCCTCGTGCTCGTGCTCCTGCTCCTCCCGCTATTCAATAATTCAAGTTTTATGCCAGACCAAGGAAACACCAAGCAGAAGTCTCAGCTGGCATGCTGTCTCTTTCTCTGATTTTTTTTTTGGCGGGGGGGTGCCTTTGAGTCAGTCTTGACTCCTGGCAACTGCCTGGCTAAGTCCGTGCAGTTTTCTCTGAAACAGAAAGAGAAATTTTCTGAAATAGAGCCAGTTTGGTCTAGCGGTGAAGGTCCCAGGCTAGAAACCAGGAGACTGAGTTCTAGTCCTACCTTGGGCATGAAAACTGGCCAGGGGACTTTGGGCCCGTCATTTTCTCCCAGCCCAGCCCACCTCACAGGGTTGTTGTTGTGGGGAAAATAGGAGGAGGAAGGAATATTAGGTATGTTTGCTGCCTTGAGTTATTTATAAAAATAACAAAGGCGGGATAAAAAATCTTGAAAAAAACAAAATTCCCCTGCCCTCATTATTTACCCTTGATTTCCTTTGTGAACCGAACCCTCTGAGAGTCAGTCAGAGGTTTTGGCTGCTCATCAATGTTCCGGATGTCCAGGACTTCACACATGAATTCAATCACAGGCTGGGCCTTGTAAAACGCTGTTGCAGACACTGGGTGGGGCGAGCAGAGAAAGGTGTAGATAAATTACAACAGGGATCTTGCAACCGTTTAAATACCATTGTTAAAGCTAACCAGGCAGACAAAGTCCACACTTATTCTTGGCTCTGGCAGTATGTCTACAATTTTCTAACTCCTACCGACATCTTAGCTCCGTAATTCTCTTGCTACACCTTTTCAAATTCTTAATACAGTGGTACCTCGGGATACGAACTTAATCCGTTCCGTGACTCTGGGCGTATCCCGAGTTGGGCGTAACCCGAAGGAA